AGCACAAGCCGCGCCGTCCGCCCCGCCATCCCGTCACCCAGGCTCGCCGGAGGGGGAGGAGCTTAGGAGCGTGCAAAACCTCCCCTTCCGGAGTAAACGGAAGTACCTGTGTTCAGTATTCTTCTCTCGGCTGACGTTCACCCAGTTTAAATATAAGTTCCCGGATTTTTGTGGGCGATTGCTCCGCCTACTGCTGTCTCTATATAGTCATAGGCGGAAAGGGGGACACCTGTAGGGTTCAGGAGCAAAACTAATTGGGGTTTTGGTTTCTCTTCCAGAGTCTTTTTATTTGCTGTAGAGCCGTTTTTCTGTGAGTCCTGTCGGATTTTATTTCCTGAATGCACCTCGACCTGTCCACTCCTCGCCATCTCTTTCGGCACCACCCCGATCAAAGACATCATCGTTTGTCGACAGCCGCAGTAGCCTCTTACTGGATCTCCCTGCCTCTAGTTCTGCCCTCTCCAGTTTGCGCTCCATTTTCAAAGTTTCAAATTTGATCATGTCGCCTTCCTTAAATTCGTTGCTGGCTCCCAGTTACTCTCAGGATAAAATCCGAACTCCGCAAGCCCTGATCTGGCCCCTGCCCACTGTCACTCCGTTGCTCTAGACCCACTTCAAAAGGCCATGCCTCTCAGGTTTCTTGACTTTTTTCTGTCTATATCACCCAACTCTCTCTTCTCAGTTTAAACACCGCCTCCTCATGGCGATGGTTAACACACCTCGAGGGTGATATAACAATGATCTGTTTTCTCAGCAAGGCGGGACCTTTAAAAAAAAAAAAAAAGCACACACACGATGTAATTCAATTTAAGAACTCACTGGGTGGCAAATCTAGGACAGTCAAATCCCAGCGTGGTTCCACACAGAGATAGAGATGTAAAATTCCAATGAAAATGAAGACCTGGAGGAGTAGGATTCTTTAGTAGCCACCACCCACAGGACCCCTGCACTAACCATTAGCACCCACTAACTCCCAATCTCACTGAGCTCTCAAACCCACTGAAGCATGGAAGCTTTATAGCTAATAATTGCCTTTCCTCCTCCCCCATCCTTTTCACCTCTGGTTAACTTTTCCTTTTTTCCTGGAGGGTTGAATGAACAAGAAGTAACATTAAACCCACTAATTCACTCACTCAACAGACATTTCCTGAGTCCTCAGCTCTGGCACCTTGCTAAGCAAGGCACCAGGAGGCACCATTCACATTGCATATTTTGTGAATGGTGCTCAGCATTGCACCATTCACATTGTATTTTCTGTGAATGACACTTTCTCCAGTTAAATATAATATGAATAGTGACCCCTGTAGCTGAACACCCAGGTGATTCTAACAGGGAAGCTGAGATGAAAAAAACAACCACCAGAGCTGACCCTAATTTAATTGACTCCCCAGAGGCAATGATTATATCCACTTCCTTATTTATGTTTCTAAAAGTATTATTTAAAAAAAAAATATATATATATAATATAACTTCTTTATTTTCTACACACACATATAAAGGTACATACATACACACACATATACTTTACTACATATTTTTTAAAGGTTTTTGCCATAGGGCCCATATACTTACTTGAGAGAGACAAAGAAAGGGAAAGTGAGAATTCACCCCCCCATAGGGGATGGACACACCACAACTCCCTTCTAGGATTTTGGGCGCACACACACACACACACACACACACACACACACAC